GCCTCGCACCGAGTACCTATCCACGTCGTTATTTACCCAGAATGCTTTGCATGTAAATAAAATGGCCCCGTCCATGTAATATCTTTTTAAAATTTTAGTTTAAAAATGATAAAAACTAAACAACCTACAGTATTTTTTACAGTTAAAATATGTTTATCAAATAAAGTCTAATGTTACAGCTAATCATGGATCACTTTAAACCTATGGCATTTCAGTAGGAATGTAAATGTCTTAATAACCACGCCCTCATTCATTGCAATGCTAAGAGTCAGTTCTTGGAAGGACAAACAATATTTATATCCTAAACTAAAGCTTGACACAGAAAACAAACATCCTGCAGTCTTCAAAGTAATTAAGTCTCAACCCAGTCCCAGCTAAACACCTATAGAAGATTTTAGTTCTAGTTGTCATTTTCCATTATTGTGAAAGCATTAATGTAGAACTTTTGAAAGAGTGCAGTTCAGTATCTTCAGCAGAGATTMTGATGCCTGTAGAGTCATTACCAAGTAGCAATAAATGTATTCAGTGGGCACACTGTGGTGCAACATCTTTACTGAGACACTTTGTTAGTTTTCTTAGAATAGTTTTGTGTCAAAACTGTCTGTTGATAGAAGATTTGTCAGGGGGTGACAGGTGTTTGCCAATAACTTTTTTATGCAAAGTTGTGAGTCCAAAATGGAAATGAGCCTCTACACACAATACCTGTACTGTAGAACCAAAGCCGCTAAATTAAAGTTTCCTTGTTTAAAGTATATATAAGTTGTTTTTTATCATCATAATAGTTATAATATATAATGCATTTTGTAAATAGTCAGGTTTCAGGTCTTAAGATTGCACTTGTGTAGTCTGCTCAAAACCAAAGGTTTGTCATGACAAATTAACAGCAGCCACAGTTTTACAAAGTACCATATTTCTGTGAAATGAAAGACGACTAGTCATGAGACATTATTTTGACTTGAAGACTTGGAACTCTTGTGACAAAAACAGGGGAAAAAGTAATGATTTTTGAACTTTTATTCTTTCCAGATTTTTTTTAAGCACAATAACCTGCCGTCCTACTCAACACTCTGTCCAGCAGATGGCAGCACACGCTAAATAGTGAACTAGTACAAGTTGTACAGTAACAGTAACAGAAGTACAGCAGACAATTATAACCGCTAAAATATGTGGAATGATGTACAGCAAGAGAGCATATTAAAATATGGGCATAAAATCCTGTTTAACTAAAAGGACTGCAGCCCAACTTCATAACTATACATCCATCCAAGAAGTTGATTAATGGGCTTTATCTTATTGTTTGTTTATTTATTTTTTTTATTTTATCATCATTGCTGTATAAATTAAATGTTCTTCTTCTTTCTATCCTCTAGCTGTCAGCCCAGTCAAAGTACAAATGCCAGCTCTCTCTCCCACCATGGAGGAAGGGAACATTGTCAAATGGCTAAAAAAAGAAGGCAAGTGAGCTTCATTTAACAAAGGCACATTTGAGCRCATTTTTAACTAATCTAATGTAATGTCTCCCCTTTGTTTAAAAAATGACATTAAACTTTGCATTGCAGTCATAGTAAATAAAAGTATTAAAGAAGCAGTCTCTGTTTGTGTGAAACAAAATCAAAAGCCCAGCATTTCTGTTTCCCACAATTATAGACCAACAGCAGCACAAATCAATAACTCAATAACATCTCATTGGTTTGTAAAGCCAAGACTTGAACAGGGGAGCCCCCGGGGGCCTTGCTGCCTAATTGGCTCAAAGAGTTCATCACTGCTTAGCAACTCTGCTCAGCCAGGTGCTTCTGCCTGCCTCTTATCAGGAGGCAGCACGCTAAATTCTGATTGGCTGCTCTGCTGTGTTGCCGTGTGACTCTGTGGCTCAGGGTATGACATAGATTTAAGTGACAAGGATGGAGGATGTAAAAACAATGCACTGTCAAGAAAAACACATTAAATGTTTTTATTGGACTGTTCATCAAATAAAATCCATAAAACTTGATTTAAAGGACATGTTGGTAATAATCTGAATAACATCTTATGTCAGCTCCTAATGTTAATTTTTTTTAAATAGGAAATTTAACAGACTGTTTTTTAACCAAATTTATATGTTGTAGTGTATCTGTCCATTTAGAATTAGAACTACTATAGATATTTTTAGAAGCAGTGCTTGACATGGGGAATGTATAATTGTGATATTTTCACTTCATTCTAGTGAAGCAGAGATGAAAAAGCTTGGGCAGACTTGTCCAATGTTTAATATTACACATCAAACCGAACCCCCAGGGTTATATGTTGTTAATGCCTCATACAAATCTAATCATTGCTTGGTCTCCAGGGCCTCCAAAGTCAATATATGGTCTAATATTTCAACCCTCTCACACTGTTTTTCATTCATTGTTTCTGTCAAGCATCCTGTTTTTATTTTCTCTTTTTTTATTAATAATATTATTCTYACACATCGTTTTGCTGTAAACAATTTTGTAATAAGATTTTATAAGGCATTGTAGTTTTTTATTTGACTTATCGATTTACGGAAAAATGTGCAAAATGTGCTGAGAGCCCAACAAGCAAAATATCAAATCTCAATAACTCTTGAGACACCTTACCCRCCTTGCCTGCTGATGGTGGTCAGAGGGTCCAGTGGCGCCTGTGTATGGCAGCCTCGCCTCTGTCAGTGCGCCCCAGGGCAGCTGTGGCTACAATTGTAGTTTGCCATAATCATCAGTGTGTGAATGTGTGTGTGCATGGGTGAATGTCTGTAGTGTGAAGCGCTTTGAGTGTCCTGGATGAATAGAAAGGTGCTATATAAGTACWGTCCATTTAGATGTGCAAAAACATTCAGGAAACTATTATTATTTTTATTGTTTATCTGTTTTTTGTGTTTTTTTGCATTCCAGACACAACTCAAAAGATTCCTGTGCACTGGTCAGGCACCCTTTAGAAAATAAAAAAACACTGTTTGCAAATTGGCTTTGCAAATGCCAAATGAGAGTTAATGGGAGTTTACAAAAGTTCTTAGATGAGTCTTTTTTTCTTTTTGCAGGTGAGGCAGTGGCAGCAGGTGACGCTCTTTGTGAAATTGAGACCGACAAGGCTGTGGTTACAATGGAGTCCAACGATGATGGTATTTTAGCAAAGATATTGGTGAGTTAGCAAACACACACTCGCACACCCATACACCAGTCCTGCAAGATATATTTTCAATCATGAATAAAAAGTTTAGTTATAAAGATCAGGGACACTTAGGCCATATCATTTGTCTCATTATAACTTATTAAAAACTGAGTTTGCTTTAGTTTATGTGATGTCAAATATGAGTGGACGTTCTAATTATAGCTTGACAACTGTTCATTTTCATGTAGGATATTGTTCTTGTAGTTCCTGGTTGGATTCTGTTGTTCTTCATACTAATTGGCTATGCTTGTTTAATCTGTGTTCTTTACACAGATACAGCAAAACCCTGGCAAGGCGTCCTAACTGACAAATATTTCCCTCTATCCTCCAGTGTGCTGTCTGTTGTTTGAATTTTTAATAGGCTGCCGAAGACTGAGCAATCAGTTGTCATTCATCAGCACCCCACCATGTTTGTCGTCTTAAACAGAGATAAAATTTTTCTTCTCCTTTTTTTTTTTTTTTTTACTAACTACTATCTCATTACTGTCTAGGAAAAAAATGGAAGAACTTAATTTTCTTGTAAGTTCAACACACGAAATTCACTTTGTCAGCTTTTTTCCTATTTCAAAATCTGAGTGACTGAATGAAATGCACAGCAGTGTAAATCACTGCTCCGTGTCAGAGTGCCTTGTCTAATCACACAATATGTTGATGTTATTTTAGAGCTGGTCATGGCAAAAGGCTTCGTTATAAAATATTCATCCACTCTGCACCAGCAAACCCACATCACAAAGGCACACTGTGACATACTGTGTGTTGTCATTTATTTGTTCATTTGATGCTCAATAATAAACAGTTGGCCTATAAATATTTTTCATGTCCTTCACTTTACTGGCTTCTACTCTTCTGCATTTTCTTACTCCATCCTGGTCTCATCTACTGTGGGGATGAGGCAGTTTCCATAGCAACCACCCAAGAATTGGGGGTAGGGGGACTTTGCTGGCAAAGAAAAAACGGCTTGCGTTAGATAAACCACAAGCTCTTCACGTCCTGCTGTGACATGAATGTGTGCATTAATAATAGGAAAACCAGCAGATATTGGCGTCATTTCACAAATTGTTCGAATGATAATGTGGCCCTGCACTTTGGATCAGAGCACGTTACGGTCCTTTGTGGCATTGTTGTGTTTCTGTAAGCTTTCAGCAGTTTCTAATTTAGTGGCTACCATAATTACTTGCCCGTGGCCAAATTCCTTGACAAGCTGCAATAGACGTGCTCCAAATGGAGTTGGTTTTTTATGGGAGTCGAACACTTTCTGTTTGAGACGTCGTCTTCTGTTGTGAGAGAAAAGGTACACTGTTCAAACAGTGATATTGATGTTTATGACAGCATTATTATGACTGTTTTTTCTCTACCTCTGTTCTCTATTCTCATCCGAAGACTTGAAACTAAAAAATCTGTCAAGATTATCTTCAGCCGTAAACCTCGTGATACAGTGAGATACTTTTAGATTTATAGATGCACGTTGGTCTCCTGTGTTTACACATTTATTATTGAGCTGTACAAGACATTCAATGACAAAAATTGAATAATCAATTAAAAACCACCAAGCAGTAATGAGTAATGATTAGATGGTCTGGTATAAATGTGTATTGTGCTAACCTGTCAGTTTTCCAAATATTCACCCCATGGCCCATTATTTTAACACACTGTCCTCCAGGTAATGAGTTAAAACATTGAGCCCTTTCAGAATGTAATTGATGACAGTATAAATCACTTGCTAAATCTGCAAAAAAATTTGATAAAATCATAGGCCAGTTGACCAAATAGCCAAGCATATGTAGCTTTAGGCTTTTGGCACAAAGAAAAGAAATAGAAAACATCAAAAAGAAAAGAACAAAAGACTCCAATGGTTTCCCACAAAGAATAAATTCACATGTGATCTACAGCTAGTTTTGTGTGGCTTTGACATTTTATGTGAGATATTACATTAAACTTCATTGCTACCAGGAAGAGGCAGGGAGCTGCAGAGCTGTTTCTGCAACATCTGTCATGCTTTATTGATCAGAGCCGAACCCCGTCTCACTTGCTAAACACAGTCTCTCATGTTTCTCTCTAGTATTTATGAGCACGCCAGGTTCAAATCTATCTTCTTCTTAGAAAAAAGAACTGTTGAGACTCTCTTCTGTCAGCGCTTTCCACATTTTCTGACATACACTGAATATGTTGACGCCCCATGAATCAGTCGATTAAAAAACATGAGAATCATTTTTAGTTAATATGAATCAGTAAAGCTGTTGCACTTGACAGATAAAAGTAAGGAAGGAACATCTGTCTAAGCTGAACTTGCTGAAACTTTTATGGCTCCCATGTGACTTGTTTTTCTGTCTAAAAACAGTTTAAAATGTTAGTGAAACCTCACAATTAGTATACTTTGATGTAATATTGCCACCCTTGCTGACTGATTTAAAAATATAATCTGAGCTTATTATATCTGATCTGAGCAAATGTCTCATAGTCGAATGGAATCACAAATAGAAATGTGTTGTTTGTTTTTTTTTCCTATTTCACATTGTTTACCAGTCTACACATAGTTGCATAATTCTGTTGTGTGGATGAACATTAGAATTTCAGTTTTCTTCCGGTAAAGTAAAATGATTTATGCATCTGTTTTTTTTTTTTTTTTTTTTTTTT